GAGTTTTAAGATAATCACAGGAGCATAAGAGAGCAAACCCAGAAGATTGAACCTAGCAAGAGAAGAACTTCGACAGGGAATTATCAATCGAGCCATTACAAAAACAAAGGAAAAACAAAAAAACACCGAAATCCCAAAATCTCTAAAATCAATCTAACGCTATAAATAAATTAACAAAAACACTATAAACCCTAGAATTTTCGGGCTACTAGCTATGGGTTTTATAAAGGATGTGTGTAAAAGGATAGAATTTAAATGAAAAAAAAAATAAGGTTGAGAAAATTCGATTATTAATAAAACAAAAACAAAAAATAATGGGTGAAGCAAATGATTAAACGAAATTAAATTTCGATTTCGAGATTTCGACTGAGATCAAAAATCGATCGGAGGAAGAAGACGAAGTTATTACCGAGATCCGATGATCAGACGAAAGATGCAGAGAACTGAAACAACGAGGAAACGAAACCTTTGTACTGATATATATATAGCGAAGAAAATATTTATCCGGAAAAACAAGAAAATAACAAAATGGATATATCGAATTCCACTAATTGAGATTATTTTATTTTATTCTGTATTATCCATTTTTAATGCTCCTTTAGCATTTCGATGCTGCTCTGATATTTTTGTTTGGCATCCAAATAATCTTTGAATTTAGAAAAACAGAACCTTTTTTTTTGTCAACATATAAACAAAAAGAAACTATTTTAAGAAGAGAGTTATATTTTAGAAGCGAAAAGTTTATATGAAAAAAAAGCTTACAACAAATCGATGCTAATTTTACAGTCATCGAAGAATAATCAAAATCGCAATTTTCTCTCTAATCTTCCAATAAAAACAGAAATTAACGGTTTAAGAAGAAACGGTGCATTTTAGCATCATTCACCGATAAACTGGCGTTTTTTAGCAGTGTTCGTGTATGGTGTAATAACCCATTCGGTATCTGCTTCATTTTGTTCCACAGTTCCTAATTTCACCTGCAAAGTAGATTTAACCAAAACCGAATAAGTTTTTGATTGACTTGTGAAGTTCTGAAGACTCAAAACAGAATAGTAACCCCCAATGCTTACCTGGTAGGGCCGCAACTCAAAGCGAGGACCGATTTCTTTAAGCTCAATCGATTTCGGGCCTCCATCTCCTTTATCATAGACATGATTCCTATATATGCACACAAGAGTGTTATGGTATGGTGTTTCTATGTGTTTCGCCAAGAGGAACATAATCAGATTACCAAATACACCAATGTAAGCTTCTAGAACTCGAACAAGGTCACAAAAACCATAGAAATTAGTTTATATAGAGAAAACTTTACCTGAATGAAATATAATCAGATTGATTAGCAAAAGTAACTATACGTTTTGCATCCGGTTTTGGAACTGGGAAGATGTGTTTCAAGATGTTTGAAATTCTTTTACCCAACTGCGAAAACAAGGGAATCGAAATGGATCATGTTTTACATCAGAAAAGAAAAAAACAGAGTAATCAACTCTACAAACTCTTTAGTTTCCGATGCCCAATCGCAGTAAAATGAAATGAATCAGATATACAAAAATTTACCGGACTTGTAAAGTTGTTAAAAATGAGATGAGGAAACTGCTCAGGCATTTTTCCCCTTGTTTTCTTGATTTCAATTTCATGTCTTGTTACCTAAACAAATAGAGCTCAGGATTAAGTATAAACACCAACAAAAAAAAGGACTTGTAAAGAATAAAGATTCGAGCACAAGAATCAGATCTTCCAAGAGTTACTTACCACATTAAGTAATCCAAAGTAGGCAGTTGGTCCAAATGGAAGATGTGACACAATAAGACCATCAGGAACACCACGGTGCTCATGAACCAATATAACATCTGTAAAATCATGCGAACGAGCGGTTTCAATGATTTCAGAAATGACCTGCAAAGAAAGAGGTGGGAAATTTGGTGTTACGATTCCAATGCTGTTGCTACAAAGTTTTTCATGTGACATAAACGTAAATAAGTATTGTGATTGTATAAAAGTCTGTATAAATCCTGCTTAGGTGATGGTAACTATTAGTTAATAGCTCCCATTTCAATTTGCAATGCAGCTTTAGACTAACTCAGCTAAAGAGTTTAAATTTTGTTGCCTAACCTACGTTGCACATAATTTGAGCATGGTCTAATGCGATATTTACAACCAGGAAACAAAATGGTTCTAATACCATTAGAATTCAATTTAACAGAAACCACAAAGCGGTGACCAATTGGAAAACAAAACGGGATTACAGAAAAAGAGGATTAGA